AAACCATGAACCTATACTGGGTCACCAGCAACATGTGTTAACTTTATACCACAGCTTACTAGCTAAACCTCGAACCTATACTGGGTCACCAGCAACATGTGTTAACTTTATACCACAGCTTACTAGCTAAACCTCGAACCTATACTGGGTCACCAGCAACATGTGTTAACTTTATACCACAGCTTACTAGCTAAACCATGAACCTATACTGGGTCACCAGCAACATGTGTTAACTTTATACCACAGCTTACTAGCTAAACCATGAACCTATACTGGGTCACCCAGCAACATGTGTTAAATTCAATGCTATTGACTCGGGAAGTGCGACTTTGCACTTACTACATTTCAACTATTACATAAACATCCCACAATGAGTCTAAAGAGGCGTGGGGAGGTACAAGGGGTATATTCTCTGGGGGAAGGGAATAAAATTTATGAAATAGCAGAGGCTAATTAGGTTACCGTTAAATTTTACTTTTCTTGCTTACACCATAGACACAAAGGGTTGTATTTGGAGGGGACGTGCATTTCTTCAGTATGTTCTGAAACGTTGAGAATAGTACTATGATTGTTTGTTTGTTGTTAAACACAAAGCTACACAATGGGCTATCAGTGCTATGCCCAAATGGGTATGAAAACCCGGTTTTTAGCATTACGCTGAGCCAATGAGAGGGGGATGGACAAGTAGGACTATGATATTATGTTTTAACATAATGCAGATTGACTTGAACCTCAAAAAGTTAGTCTTGATTTATAGCCAACATAATATTTAGATGTATTCTGACAACTCCAAATGTTGTTAATTCATTGTTCAAAACAAATCTTTAAGGAGAGACACAAGATTTGAGGAGAGACTTATCCTAAGCTCTAGAAATGATGGACATCCCTGCTAAAGAGTAATATTAGGAGTGAACATAACATATCAAAAGCATGATAATATTCTATAATCAGTAAAGAGTGAGCCATCGATGGTAGTTCATTATGGAGGTTAATACAGCAAAGACTAAGTCGACACTTGTACAACAATGAAAAAAGTCATTGAGGTACGTAAAACAAGGAAGTAGGAGTCAAGCCGCTATTACATTCTTGACTTAGTTACTTGTTACTTAGTGGTCATATTTCTGCAAGTGTCACATAAATAGTATTATAAGTGTAATGTAGAAACGCGATTTTGTTGTAGTATATACATTGCAGAACATTTTTAGCGTTGCTGGTATTTGATTACACGTAACCAATGTATGACATATGTTTGAAATGCCATTTTAAATCTAACCTTGGTGGAAAATGAAGTAAGACGAACTGCTTTTTATACATTCCTCTTATTTCTATTTTCAGTAACATCCTAGTCGCAAATTATTATCGCCAATTCGCAAATTTATAGATTCATTTCACTTCCAGCAGCAATTTTATTTCAACACTATATACATACATATATACATATATACGTACGAGTTCGCTGAAAATTCATTTACATAAAACTACTTTAATTTCCTTAAAAAGTGTTCAAAACAAATATTTGTTTACTACTAGTAATATAAACCCTATAGATGTCATGAAAGTTACTGCATCTTGGGTTAGGTTAAAACTTATCTTTGCATACGGGGGGTGGGGGGTAAATAGAAAATAGTTTAATTCTTACGTCTTACTTTGAAACAAACAATAAATATATATATATAACAATAATATATATACACAATAATTCAGTCGGTGTTTTGGGTCCGTTTTACTTTACCATATAGTAACCTAAGTTCATTTAGGTAACATATATATATATATATATACAATAATTAGGTTGGAGTTTTGTATATATATGCAATAATTCAGTTGGTTTCAATTGTTTTGGTAATATTTCCTTCAGCACCAACAGTATAATAACAACTATACCAACTTATAGTAGATTTTGCCTCACCATTTGCAGAGTTTACCAAAAACCTTTGGAGAGATAGTTAACAAATCTGTTTCCTTTCATTTCGCCGAAAAGTGTTAAAACAAATCTCTCTGTTTACTGCTACTACATAACTGCTACTTTAACTTTGTTAAAAAGTGTTTAAAACAAATCTCTCTGTTTACTGCTACTACATAACTGCTACTTTAACTTTGTTAAAAAGTGTTTAAAACAAATCTTTCTGTTTACTACTATTACATGACCGCTACTTTAACTTTGTTAAAAAGTGTTTAAAACAAATCTTTCTGTTTACTACTATATGACCGCTACTTTAACTTTGTTAAAAAGTGTTTAAAACAAATCTCTCTGTTTACTACTACTACATGACCGCTACTTTAACTTTGTTAAAAAGTGTTTAAAACAAATCTTTCTGTTTACTACTACTACTACATGACCGCTACTTTAACTTTGTTACAAAGTATAAAAAAAATCTCTCTGTTGTATGTTTTCTATCGGAGAAAGCTGTCACTCCATAAACTCTAATTATATAACGAGCAGAAAGATTGTCATGATGTTTAAGAAGAAGAAGAAGAAACCGGCTAATTTACATGTGGTGTCTGTGTTATTTTACTTAACCATGCCGTTTTGTTATTATGATGTATAATTAGCATTATGGTGTAAATCTAATCAGCCAAGTTGAATTTATATTTATTTATGTATTGCAGGTAGTTTGAAAGGGTTTTTATCATAAGATCATACAAACTCTGTAAATGATACTGATGTTTATTGAACCTAATGTTATATGTAGTTTACCAAGAAAAAATCACGAATCTATTTTTAAATAGGTTACCCGCATCTTTATTCAATACGTTGTTAAGTTACTCAATTGTTTACTGTAAATCAGCTGAGGGGCGTACAGGTTTTCTATATTAGTTTATTAGTTAACGTTATGCTCACATATGACCAGCCCCGTATAATTAATATAAGAAAAACATACCACCCTTCCCATTGAGCTTAGAGTGGTAAGTATATATACAATGTGAAACTGACTACAGTAATATTGTTTTTTTGTTTTTTTTAACCGTAGCAGTATTTTTCTTTACACACTTGGGTTCCACCTTCGTAAAATATCTTTAAATGCCGGATCGAAACTTTTGCATATTGAGGCATTATAGCTCATGGGTGGCATACCAGGTTTAACAATGGAATATATAGGCATTATAGCTCACGGGTGGCATACGAGGCTTAACAATATATTTTAGCGATCAGATTTGGCTATTAATCCGAAGAGTATTTCTTTATTTAAATTCAGGTATGTATCTCAGGGTTCCGCGTGCATGGAAGATACTTATGTTAAAAAGAGTCAAAACCTATGTCTGATAAGGCGTTCTAACTGAAGAATCACGCTAATTAAGTTATTCTTAAATTCATTATTTTTCAGCACATTTTTCATCTCATCCATATTATCTCGAATAAGCAAATTTAACGTTTTTATTTTTATTTTTCATCGTCATCTATTTTTAACTCCTTACTATACTTTCAGTAATCTCTAGCCATTATCTTAAGGTTTCAGGAAATCATCGTAAGATGTTATTGGGATTACGGCCGAAAGAATCGTTAACAGCGAAGGTACCCAATTTGTGAAAGAATGCAGTCTAATCTTTATAAGCAGAAACGTAAGAAAAATATATTAAATTATCTATACTGATGGCCAGGTTAATTTTCAGTTTTGCTCTAAGCACACAGCTTACTCTGATCGTAATTTATCATTATTATTTCCAAGAAATATGTGATCGTTTCAAAATTGAGCAAAATTGTAGCACAACTACTTGAATAACCTTGTAATAGTAAATTGAATCGAATCGATAATTTTAGGTGTAAATGTGAATAAACATATCCTCTTTCTGATATGTTTCCTCGATGTGCAAGTAAGTAAACAGTGTGACTATATATAAATATGTATGTGTGTTTACATCTTAAAGGCCAAAAATAAGAATCCACCCCTTCACACAAACTACAAGCTGTTCACTTAAAATGGATTACTACACGCGGAATTTCGTCATCAGAACCAACACAAGCATATATATTAAATCATGTTTTTATATTGTCAGACCCAGGCTAATTGGTTTAGTTTGACAAGCTGTTCACTTAAAATGGATTACTACACGCGGAATTTCGTCATCAGAACCAACACAAGCATATATATATATTAAATCATGTTTTTATGTTGTCAGACCTAGGCTAATTGGTTTGGTTTGTTTTAAATTTCGCGCAAAGATACACGAGGGCTATCTGCACCAGCCATTCCTAATTTAGCAGAGATAAACTAAAGCTAGTCAGTACCACCCACCGCCAACTCTTGGACTACTCTTTTACCAAAAAATACTGGGATTGACCGTCACATTATAAACCCCCAACGGCTAAAAGATCGAGCATGTTCGGTGACGAGGATTCGAGCCCGCAACACTCATATTGCAATGCGAGTGGCCTAACTATAGGTGATGCCAGGCCCTGACCCAGGTTAAGTCCATGGTTGAGATCATTTACAAATCCGTAACTACATATTTTGAAATATTCTTATTTATGTTTTATCCTTTTATGTATTACGTATTGTTGAGTGCGCTTGCGTATTACGCATTGTCGAGTCCGCTTGCAATTTCTGCTCACTTTTCATAAATATACGCACTTTATTTATGTATCATAATACGTAGTTATGTTTATATTTACTTGTATAGATCTAAGAGAAATTTATAACCTAAAAACTGTAATTTGTTGTTTAGTCCAAAGGTCTTCCATCAAATTGTAGCGAAAAAGCATTCATGAGTCCTTTTATCGACCACTTAAAGTAGGCACCGCTACGTAAGGGGCGGGACTCACTTTTGTTAAGTTCAACCGTGTTGAATGATAAATTACCATTTAGATGTACACTGGAGGCTATGTTTTGTACAAGCTGTGTTTCCGCGGCTGCGCTCTGCTACCCTAGTGATAAGTGAAAAGCCTTTGGTTTGCATCAAACAATCGGTTTCCTAAATACATCTCCACTTTCTTCTCAGGAATAATTAACTTTATCTTTACGAACTTGATTATCATAATTTTAAGTTGTCGCTACTGGTTTATTGAGAGGCCTTTTTTTTTTCTTCTTTTTTTTTTTCATGTTCAACAAGTTTACACAAAGTTCAGTTCTTGAAGCAATACAAAAAGCTTTGAGAGAATAAGTGAAAAAAAACAAACAATCCTTTGTGTTATCTGGTGCAAGACCAACATTTTACATAGGAACCTACATTAGAAAGACACATTTGACTGCGATAGTTGAAAGGGAATATATGTGGAAAGAAAACCTAAACATAAAGCTATATATACTATATTATGTAAGAGCATCACTACTGCAGTAGGGTTAGTCTTGGAAACTGTATGTTACGTATTTCTAAAGTAAACCATCAGGTATATTAATCACGCTTGGTGAGAAACGAAGAGATTGTCCTTAAACTCCAGATACAGGTATACATTTTAATATGTATTTTTTTATCCTTTTATATCGTTATATGCATGTGTGTACTTAAACAGATACAAAAATTACGTTTATCTCTTATGTTTAGATTTCGATACTATCAGAAATAAGTGCTGAAAACCTTTTATGGACTAGTTAAGAATACTGTTTTAAATTATCGCGTTTTATTACTACATTTTACTGTTTAAAGAACGTCGTTTTTCATCAGCTTTGCTCCACAATTGTTAAGTGCATAGCAAGAACTGAGTTTCAGGTACATAAAGCGTAGAATAAGGTTCCGTTCTTATTTATGTTAGAAAAATTAAAAGTTTCCTTACAAACAATATCACTTACTATTAACGTCTTGATACTCCATTTCTTCATTTTTATTTATTTTCAGTTTACTATTCTGTTTTAAAACTAAACTCTTTATAAAATGCAGCAGTAAACTGTATACTAAAGCAAAATTAGAACCGAGTTAAAATTTCGGCCCTTTTAGTCTACTCCAAATCTTTTTAATAAACCAAATTTTCAAAATTATGTTTGTTTTTTGTTCTTTTTTTTTTTAAAGTGCCTGCATGAGGTTTGTACGTAGTGTAGCAAATAATTACACTGCAACATACACTTTGGGCTTGTTCTATAGTTGATCGTGTAACTCGATTCCCGAGTAATGAAAACTGAATAATCCTAATCAATTCATTTTTATACACTTATTTAAATACAGTATTAACATTTTAAATGAAGTCCGTCAGATTGTTGACATCGGGAGTCATGTTTCATTGATGCTCTTAATGCTTAAAAATAGATCTATTAACAAAATATATTTAAAACTACCGTCTCTTTGAGTGCACACTAAAATATATAATAAATTGGTCAATAAGAGATACAACCAAATTTCTATATAACAATAAACAGTGGATCCCAGCAGTAACTAATAAGATTAATTTCAATATTAACGATATCTTTGTTTTCATTTTTTTTGTGTGAGTCATATGATATTAGAGACTTATAACAAATATAATTATAAACTCAAAAGGAATTTGATGCGTAGTTAGTTGAGGAAAATGTGGTAA